GCTATCTTATTTCCATGCAAGTATATGGCTATCTAAAAATGGAGAGTGGGCCATGGTTTTCTCTCTTTTTTTATAGCCTTGTCTTTCCTTTTTTAATGGTATGTGAGAATTTTGGGAGACAGGGGGAACAGGTGAAGCCAAGACAAAGATGGGATAAACCAAATTTGAGTCTGAACAGGGAGGGTTGGGAAAAAGCATCTCAGAAGGGACCCTCCCTAGTTTTCAGGAGGGTGAAAGTGAGGGACTGGAGACTTCAGACTTACAAGATTCTGTTAATGAAATCTTACAATGAAGATAAAGTTAGTACTCCTGTCTCCTTGTCTGGATCTCCCCATAGGTCTGATGGAAACACACTGGCTCATGTAGTTAGGACACTGGGTTGACAATTTAGCAAGCCCATGTTTGAGACCAAGGGAGGCTGTGGGACAGTGCGCTCTCCAACCATTGACAACCTAGCAGTTCAAAAGTGAGCAATTGCAAGTAGATAGATAGGCATCCTTTGGTGGGCACATTAATGGGAGTGTGAAAGGAGTCCAGTGAGGAGTAAAACTCCAACTCAAAGTTGTTGGACTACAAAACAATTTTATTGAAGTGTTTGCAAAGACTGGTGGATCTCAATACATACACAGGCAAGAGACCTCACCCAAGTAAGGAAAAAGCATACTTTTGTAAACATCCTACTCCCATCAGTTTCCGCCACATCATTCCTTCCTTCCAGGCCCAGTTGATAGCTCCAGTCTGGTCACAAGCTTTCGAACCACCTATAATCTATTATTGCACCTAAATGTTTAAAGTTAGTTAAGTTCTTATTGTCACCCAAACTTGCTAAGCACTCACCCCCCTCATGTCTCATCACAGGAATTACAGCATAGCCATAGGAAAGAGCATTATAAAAATAAAAGAAACATTTGAAAAGGAAAAACATCAAAGTAGGTTTGGGTTGCATACATTCTCAGCCTTCCCAAGGTTGGCTTGACTATTTGCTTTGTACATGGAGGCTTGAGAACAGCCTGGTGGCTCAGCAGACTAAAAGCATTGTGATTAACACCAGCTGTCTGCAATTACTGTAAGTTTGAATCTCACCAGGCTCAAGGTTGACTCAGCCTTCCATCCTTTCTAAGGTAGGTAAATTGAGGACCCAGTTTGTGGGGGCAATATGCTGACTTTGTATAAATATACAAAAGTATGAAGGCTATTGCTTAACGCATTGTAAGCTGCCCTGAGTCTCCGGAGAAGGGCAGCATATAAATCATTTTTTTTAAAAAAATGCTTGTTGTTAGTTGCGAAGTCGTGTCCAACCCATTGTGACCCCATGGACAACGTTCCTCCAAGACTTCCTGTCCTCTACCATCCTCTGGAGTCCACTTAAGTTCACGCCTACTGCTTCAGTTACTCCATCTAGCCGACTCGTTCTCTGCCGTCCCATTCCTCTTTTGCCCTCAATCGTTCTCAGCATTAGGCTCTTCTCCAATGAGTCCTTCCATGTCATTAGGTAGCCAAAGTATTTGAGTTTCATCTTCAGGATCTGGCCTTCTAAAGAGCAATCAGGGTTGATCTCCTCTAGGACTGACCGGTTTGATCACCTTGCAGTCCAAGGGACTCGCAGGAGTCTTCTCCAGTGCCATAGTTCAAAGGCCTCAATTCTTTGGCACTCAGCCTTTCTTATGGTCCAACTTTCACAGCCATACATTGCAATTGGGAAAACCATAGCCTTGACTATACACACTTTTGTTGGCAGGGTGATGTCTCTGCTTTTTAGAATGCTGTCTAGATTTGCCATAGCTTTCCTCCCTAGGAGCAAGCGTCTTTTAATTTCTTGGCTGCAGTCCCCATCTGCAGTGATCTTGGAGCCCACGAAAATAAAATCTGTCACTATCTCCATTTCTTCCCTATCTATTTGCCAGGAATTGAGAGGGCTGGATGCCATGATCTTAGTTTTCTTAATATTGAATTTCAAGCCAACTTTTGCACTCTCCTTCTTCACCTGCATCAAGAGGCTCTTTAGTTCCTCTTCACTTTCTGCCATTAAAGTGGTATCATCTGCATATCTAAGGTTGTTGATATTTCTCCCGGCAATCTTAATTCCAACTTTTGATTCATCTAGCCCCACCTTTCTCATGATGTGTTCTGCATATAAGTTAAATAGGCAGGGTGACAGTATACAGCCTTGCAGGACTCCTTTCCCAATTTTGAATCAGTGGTTCCGTGTCCAGTTCTCACTGTTGCTTCTTGACCAGCATATAGGTTTCTCAAGTGACAAATAAGATGATCTGGTACTCCCATCTCTTTAAGAACTTGCCACAATTTGTTGTGATCCACACAATCAAAGGCTTTAGCATAGTCAATGAAGCAGAAGTAGATGTTTTTCTGGAACTCCCTAGCTTTCTCCATGATCGAGCGTATGTTGGCAATTTGATCTCTAGTTCCTCTGCCTCATCGAAATCCTGCCTGTACTTCTGGTAGTTCTCGATCCACATACTGCTGGAGCCTAGCTTGTAGGATTTTAAGCATAACTTTACTACCGTGTTTCCCTGAAAATAAGACCCTGTCTTATATTTTTTTTTGAACCCTGAAACAAGCGCTTGGCCTTATTGCCATGCACTCAAAAGCGCAATTGGGTTTATTATCAGGGGATGTCTTATTTTGGGGAAAACAGGGTAGCATGTGAAATGAGTCCAATGGTGCAATCGTTTGAACATTCTTTGGCATTGCCTTTCTTTGGAATTGGAATGTAAACTGACCTTTTCCAATCCTGTGGCCACTGTTGAGTTTTCCAAATTTGCTGGCAAATTGAGTGTAGCACTTTTACTGCATCAACTTTTAAGATTCTGAATAGCTCAGCTGGAGTACTGTCACCTCTTCTAGCTTTATTGTTGTTCAGATTTCCTAAGGCCCATTTGACTTCACATTCTAGAATGTCTGGCTCGAGGTCAGTGACCACCCCATCGTTGTTATCAGGGACATTAAGCTCATTCTTGTATAGTTCTTCTGTGTAATTTTGCCACCTCTTTTTAATCTCTTCTGCCTCTGTTAGGTTCCTACCATTTTGGTCCTTTATCATGCCCGTCTTTGCATGAAACATTCCCTTCATCTCTCCAATTTTCTTGAAGAGATCTCTGGTCCTTCCTATTCTATTGTTTTCTTCTATTTCTTTACATTGTTCATTTAAGAAGGTATTTTTTATCTCTTCTAGCTATTCTTTGGAATTCTGCATTCAACTGGGTGTATCTTTCTCTTTCTCCCTTGCCTTTCGCTTTCCTTCTTTCCTCAGCTATTTGCAAAGCTTCCTCAGACAGCCATTTTGTTTTCTTGCCTTTCTTTTTTGGGGGGATGGTTTTAGTTGCTACCTCTTGTACAATGTTGAAAACCTCTGTCCATAGTTCTTCAGGCACTTTGTCTATCAGATCTAATTCCTTAAATCTATTTGTCACCTCTACTATATATTCATCAGGGATATGATTTAGTTCATACCTGAGTGGCCTAGTGCTTTCCCTACTTTCTTCAATTGAAGCCTAAATTTTGCCATGAGAAGCTCATGATCTGAGCCACAGTCAGCTCCTGGTTTTGTTTTTACTGACTGTATAGAGCTTCTCCATCTTTGGCTACAGAGCACATAGTCAATCTGATTTCTGTGTTGACCGTCTGGTGATGTCCATGTATAGAGTTGTCTCTTGGGTTGTTGGAAAAGAGTGTTTGCTATGACCTTGATGTATTCTCTTGACAAAATTCTATCAGACTGTGCCCTGTTTCATTTTGTACTCCAAGGCCAAACTTGCCTGTTATTCTGGTTATGTTTTGGCTTCCTACTTTAGCATTCCAATACCCCATGATGATAAGGACATCATTTTTTGGTGTTAATTCTATAAGGTGCTGTAGGACTTCACAGAACCGGTCAATTTCATCCTCTTCAGCACCAGTGGTTGGGGCATAGACTTGGATTAGTGTGATATTGAATGGTTTGCCTTGGATTCGAACTGAGATCATTCTGTCATTTTGGGGATTGTATCCCAGTATTGCTTTTCCTACTCTTTTATTGATTATGAAAGCTACTCCATTTCTTCTGAGAGATTCTTGCCCGCAGTAGTGTACCTGATGGTCACTGAATTAAATTCACTCATTCCTGTCCATTTTGGTTCATTGATTCCTAAGATGTCGATGTTCAGTCTTGTCATCTTTTGTTTGACCACATCCAGCTTGCCTTGATTCATGGATCTTATATTCCAGGTTCCTATGGAGAAAAAACCTTTACAGCATCGGACTTACCTTTCACCACCAGATGCATCCACAGCTGAGCATCCTTTCAGCTTTGGCCCAGTTGCTTCATTCTTTCTTGTGCTACTGGTACTAGCCATCTGCTCTTCCCCAGTAGCATATTGGACACCTTCTGACCTGAGGGGCTCATCTTCCAGTGTCATATCTTTTTGCCTTTTTGTACTGTCCATGGGATTTTCATGGCAAAGATACTGGAGTGGGTTGCCATTTCCTTCTCCAGTGGATCACATTTTGTCAGAACTCTCTGCTATGTCCTGTCTTGGGTGGCCTTGCACGGAATAGCTCATAGCTTCATTGAGCTATGCAAGCCCCTTTGCCACGACAAGGCAGTAATCCATTAAGGGGTAAAATGCTACAATGTTTTAAATAAAAAATAAGTCCTGGTCTCCAAGAGAGACACCTTTTCTTGAAAGTTAAGGCTTATAGGAAATTATCAGCAATACAATTGAAAAGCAAATTTAAACATGGCTGTACCTTGAATATGTAGTAGTGTGGCTATATGTTAAAATACTAATGCTAGGTCATTTGAACAAAGCATGAACCTTATATAACAAATAATATATAGTATTAAATGAAAAATTACAACTTATTATATTATACCCCAAACTCCCAGTCGGGTGTCCTTTGGGCAATTATGATGTCACTGGTTAATCCATTCAACCCGGAAACACCTTGGTGCTTATGACACAATTGCATGCATGCCTAAGACTGACATCAATCTTGCAAGTCTGAAAATACCCCTCCCATTCCTCACTTTGGTTCTCCCATAACCTGCATCCATAAGCAGCTTGAAAGCAGGTGATTCGGTTTTCAGCTCACCCAGTTCATTGATGAATGAATGAAGACACGGTTTAGCATCAATTTTGATTTATGGGAACATGGGAAGCAAAACTGTAGTTTTGATAGGATGGTGTTTTTAAACAAACAAGATTTCGAGCTAATCATGACTTTTGCCAGTTCAAATGTAATGACAAAAAAATCATGATTCTTTAAAAAGTGCTTAGGAGTTCTAATTTTCAAATATATTAGAAGAGGTAGATACTTAAGCTTCAGATATATTTATTTGGCCCACCTTCACCTTAGTGTGAATGTAGACAATGAAAAGGGAAGGGCTAAGCCATAAAAATGTACCATCAGTGTAGTTTGTTCATGCAGCAGTTATAGATTAGCTGGTATTTGTCATTTTCCCATTATTCTCTCTTGTAGAAAGGAAAAAAACAAATATCAGTACAAACTATTGATCTCATTTCTTTACTGTTGCAGGTACTATTAGCTCTACCATGGAACACTTTATTCTGGCTAATGGCAATTTTGCTGTAGAACTTTTCAAATTGCAACTGAAGGAGAAACCTGGGAAAAATTGCATTTCATTCTCAATTGGTGTAGAAATGGCATTAGGCATGCTCTTGCTTGGCAGTGGCAAAACCACTGCTGATCAAATAAGAAAGATAAGTGTCCTCAAGTACTTGTGTTCCTTAAAAATAGTTATTTTAAGTCTTATTAAATTATTAACTATAGGTCACACATATAATCACATCTATGTTATTGCTAGAAAATGTTTTTCCTTGGTATCTTGTCACATGAATGTCTGCACTGAATCATGATGTTAGAAACAGAAATGGAGCAATAAAGCAACGAAGGCAATCTGGTACCAAAAAGTAGAAAAAGTTTATTAACGTATTTGTAGCTGCGGTGGCATAGTGGTTAGAGTGCAGTACTGTGGACTACTTCTGCTGACAGCTGACTGACTGCAATTTGGTAGTTAAAATCTTACCAGGCTCAAGGTTGACTCAGCCTTCCATCCTTCCTAGGTGGTAAAATGAGGACCCAAATTGTTGGGGGCAATAGGCTGACTCTGTAAATCGCTTAGAGAGGGCTGTAAAGCACTGTGAAGAGGTATATAAGTCTAAGTGCTATTGCTATTGTAATTCCGATTGCATACGAGGTGGACCCAGATCAAAGCACACAACAAGTTTTTATACCCTTTTACCTGACCCTCAACACTGTCCTGTTTCTCCATTGGCTGGGTACTACCAAGCTCACAACTATCTGGAGCGCCTATTAACAATATTCCTCAAAAACTCCCTACCAACATGATATGGTGTGATTATGCATCACGGCATAAACCTTAAATTTCCGTTACTCTTTTGCATAAATTGCTTATATTTTGAAATGTCAGTTAAGCTATTGCTCAGAAAGCACTCCCCTTTTTCTTTCTAGACTTTTCTGAACCACACTGTTAACTGTAAGAACAATACTGTTTTAACTAATTTTTTACTAAGTTCCATAACTTTCTGGTTCCTTATTTTCTTTATTTATTATGTGAAAGCTATAATGAAACATTATTTTAGAAGCAATACTTCATAATCCACAATGGGATAATCTTTCCTTATTAGCAGCCTTTCGTCCCAACTGGACTTTCCAAAATTCCTTGGAAAGGAAAAAAAAAAAGGAATGTAAAGAAAGCTATGCATTTTTGCAATAACCATGTCACCATGCACAAAGAAAATATTTACTTATGTACCTCTTTACTTACTGTTCATTCTTACCGACAGCCACATTCCAACAAAACTCCCGGTGGGTTACAATATTTACACCAAAACCACTAAAATTAGTATATAACTAGCACATACACACACACACATACACACACACACACATGCCCAAATTCCCAAAACTTCCTGGCATCCAGGAATAGCAATGGACTATTAATTTAAATCCCCATAGAAGACTCTTGTCTTTTCTATCTTCCTGTGTTATAGAGTATGAATGATTGTGTTTGTGTAAAGCAGATGAAGGTGCAATCCTACTATTGAGTATTAAGTCAGATGAATTTATTTCTTTAGGATCCTGAGAGGGCAACACCTTGGCCATCACTTCAATCAGGAAATAATTCTTGGCTGCTACTACTACTACTATATTCGTGTTGAAAGCACCAGGTGCTTCCCTATTGAAAGGATTAGCTAATGACATCACCATTGGCCAGTGGACGCCTGAGGGGGCTTCTTTCATGTCCCCTGGGTATTTTCCCACCAAAGTGGTGCCTATTTATCTACTTGCAATTTATCCCCAAAAGCCCTTGCTTTGTTGATTTACAAATCTCGTATCAGTTCATAGGATTTGGGGAGGGGTTTCCCATGTGCTCAGGCCCAATTTCTTTTTTCTGGTTCAGGTGACCATTTTTTCCTTTGTTTCCTTAACAACTTTGTTTCTTCTTAACAACTTTTCCTAAGGCAGCTTTTCCTGGCTTTTGACCATCTTGCTTCTGTATTTGCTTCATCTTAGGTATGGCAGCTTCAGCTTGATCACACACCCAGATAAATTGAGGCAGAGCTCATATATTTTGTTTTGCAGGCTCTTCACTTCTGGAGATGGCCAGAAACTGTGACCCCTACAGGTGGGCTTGTAAGAAAATTCTCAGTTGAATTTCATTTTACTAACTCTACTAAATGAACTATTTGGTATAAAGTGTTCTAAGCACTTGAAAAATAGAAAATAATTTATTTCTTAGTAAAGAAATATTAAATCTTGGCAATTGGAATTGTATATCCTAACCAAACTCTGTTATGATGTTCAAATGATTGTGCCCAAACTGTATTGTCCACAAGTTAATGGATAAGAATAATTGCTCACTTCATAGAATAGCATCTTAAAGGAGAATATCTCAAGGATTGGGACAATGATCCCTAAGGGGACTTCTGCTATAAAAATAAAACATATTTACATCCGGAAACCATGTAGCTAAAAAATGGCCATATATGAGATTTTTATGAGTTATTCTGATTTTTATTAGCATTTGGCTTTACCAGGAAATATGGTAAATGTAAATATTTTGGAAGATGTTGGCAAATATATTTATAATATGATTGTAAATCTGATATCCTTTGCTGCTTGAAGCATTCTGGGACTGAGTGTGATAAACCTGGAGGATTTCACAGCTGGTTCAAGCAACTCCTATCAACCATCAACCAGCATTCCAAACATCATACGCTGAAGATAGCCAGCCGGCTACATTGATCCAAACACTCATGATTTCCTAGAGGTAAGAAAGAACACTTTTTCTCTCTTCCCTTCTTAATCCAATATTGATGGATGAGCAATGTGGATGTTTATAATAATCAGCAGCTTGAAGCAGCCACCTATCGTTTTGACTATGAATTTCAGAGAGTAGAATTAATTAGAACTGACTTCAAAGGAACACAGGAGCAGTAACTCTAGATGTAACAACTATGATAAGCCATGCCTTTGTAAATGTAGAATTGATGATGATCCACTTCCTAAATATGGTGGTTTACTAGAAATTCTACAGGTATCATGTTTGGTGAAGCAGGAAATTAGATTAGGTCAGGTAACAGACTTCTGGCAAACTGCAATGCACATGTGGGGAAAAGTTTGGGTTACATTTTAGGTTTAATGCATGTTAAAATGTTCCTTTACCTCAGGCCAATAACATGCATCGCTCCATTGTTAGAAGTAATTTCAAAATCTAGGTCCATGTTCGTTTCCCATTAATATTTATTTCTGTATAACAGCAGACAAAACATTAAACAGTAAAATAGGTAACAAATGAGGCTTTGTTTGAGCTGAGCTCAACTTCTTTTTATTTGGTAGATACATCTACCCAATTCTCTAGGGAACAATATCATAGAAACCCTAGACATTTCATTTTTCTAGGACAGTGTATCTTAACTTTAGCAATTTTCAGATGTGTGGATTTCAACTCCCAGAATTGCTTGGCCTCTAGGACAGTGATGGCGAACTTATGCCATGCGTGCCGGAAGTGGCATGAAGAACCATCTCTCCGGGCATGCCAGCAATCGCCCGTTGCTCTTCTGGGTTCCAGCACGCATATGTGTGCCGACCAGCTGGTCTTCGTGTGTGTGGGAGCGCTGGAAACCAGAAGAACAGCTCCCTGGTGTGCACCAGAAAGCTGAGCTTCTGGTTTCCTGCTGGTCTTTGTGCGCACATGCATACCAAAACCCCAGAAGACCAGGTGACCGGTGCGCATGCGCACTCCGGAAACCGGAAGCTCAGCTTCCCTGGGGTGCGCATGCATCCTGGGGAACTGCTCTTCCAGTTTCTGGCACTCACCCATGCACGCATGAGTGCTCCCGTTTCAGTATTCGGTTCCAAAAAGGTTCGCCAACACTGCCCTAGGATTATTTTCAAATTTCCAGTCTAGCCTACTGACTGAGCCACAGCAAACTAGGTGCTGCCATTTAGCTTGGCCAGTAACCAATGTCAGCTAGATTTATTGATTCAGTGCACGTGATAATAGGTGAATGAATATATTGCTATGTCTTCTTTCATTTGGTGCAGCAATACAAACAGTGCGTTAAAGAGCTATACAATTTGGATTTCGAAAGAGTTGATTTTATGAATGCATCTGAGGAAGCTAGACAGAAAATTAATTCCTGGGTTGAAAGGCAAACAAATGGTAAGATATCATACTTTGCTCATTTGATTTCCCACACTGAATATCAAGAAGCAGAACATTTAGTCATTGTGAACTAACGGGAAAGGACAGACAATGGACTTTCTGTTGCAAGAAAAATCAGTGATGTGCAGTGGATTTTTATGGGCTGATGTGCTGTGGAGTGAGATGAGGCATGAGGCCAATTCCTGTATACTTTAACCTGCCACTTTAAATGCCAAAAAGGTCATTTATGAATTTTAAATATTACAGGTATACATACAAAAAGATTTGTAGAGCAGGGAAGGGACAATGAATATGCCCTACCAAGATGCTGAAGAAGAGAAAATTAACCTATGGTCTGAGGTGGGTCAGGACCTGAATGTATCACCAATCTGCAATATATCAGAGGCTCAGAGTTTCAGGCCTTGAGCCCTATGAACCTTTGAGACCCTCATCCATGACTTTAGATAAAGAATTTGCACAGTTGGGTTCAACCTTGGATACCCTTGGATACAAGGAACCCACAAGATGGCTCCATTATGTCTGAGTTTTTAAACACTCTCTGATATTATGTGCGTCTCTGATGTCATTCTTGCTTTAAGATATTGTTGTTACTGTATACCTGTCAGAATCATATGTGTGAAATGGGTGGCAATATAAATGTGATATATGATGAAAATATATTTCAAAGGATTGTGGAAGATACCGTTTAATCCAAAGGATACACACAAAGCAGTCTTTTGGACGTCCAAGGTACAATATATGAAAAGCCAGGGAAGCCACAATTCTGTCAAACAATTAAAAGTAACAACCTTGTTGGACACCATGGGAACAATATATATTTACATACTAGGTGAGATCCTGAATTAACAGGTGAAAAACTGGTATTATAGCTGGCCTGCTGTATTGAACATTTCATCTTGAAATTCCTGATATTGCTATTGCTTTACTTTTCAGCATTGTTTTCCTTGTTATAGGATCAGAGCATCTATGTGGATATGATGACTTGAAACGGCAGATTTAACATAGCTAATATATCAAATCCACCAAACTTCAAGAATGGACCCGTTCAGAAAGTATGAAAAATGTAGCAACTACAATTTACTTGCCAAAGTTCAGAGTACAAGATAAATATTCACTGAAACCAATTGTTTTCAGCAATGGGAGTGAGGGATCTGTTTATTCTAGGCAGAGCCGATTTATCTGGCATCTCTGGGAATCATGACTTGGCTGTGTCTCAGATTCGTTATAAAGCTTGCATTGAAGTCAATGAGGAAGGTACAGAGGCAGCTGCTGCCACTCGTGAAGTGGTAGTTCCTGGGAGTCAGTCTGTGTTTACGATTAATAGGCCTTTCCTTTATCATTTGAGTTTTACAGAATTCAAGACCGTCCTTTTAATGGGCAGGATTAATTTTCCCCATGAGGAGATACTGCCATAATAACAAACATCTTTCCAGATGGTTGGGAACAGTGGAGCTTTCTACATTCTGAATTTTATTTCAGCTTGGCGACTATCTCATCTAAACTTGTAAGCCTTAACCCTAAAATCGATTTCTTATTTGCCTACCTGGGTAAAAGCCTTTACTTTGTGAATTTCTCTGCAATTTTTCTCCAATGCAAAAGAGCTGTAACCATAATATACTTTTCTTATATTGCGTGATAAACTCTTTTTCATAAAGAGAGCAGAAAAATGTCGACACATCAGTGGGGCTTCACACATGGAATAACAGAGAATTGGGAGAATCAATAATGCTACTTCAAATCTTCCTTAGAGAATAAACCTAAAATAAAAGCCCTTAAATGTTGCAGGAGAAAGGAGGGCGAATACAATTGTTTATTTGCTTTGAGGAAAAAAGTCACCAGAGGCTTTGTGAAAGCTGAAGGCTGACTGTCTATTGGAGCAGTACATTTGTACAGCCAGCATTTATTTTATTTTATTTTATTTTATTTCAAATTTATATACCGCACCTTCTCCCAAGGGACTCAGGGCAGTGTACAGCCAGATAAAAACATACAATACAAACATTAAAAACAGTTAAAAGAATATATATTAATTTGGCCCCAGTTTAAAATGACAAACTAATTAAAAATTAAAAATATTTAAAAATATGTTAAGCCAGCCCGGCTTATTGAAAAAAGAAAGTTTTAAGGGCACGGCGGAAGGCACCGAGGTCTTGGATTCTCCTTATCTCTGGGGGCAGCTGGTTCCATAGGGAGGTGCCCCCACAGAGAAGGCCCTCCCCCTGGGGGTCACCAGCCTACATTGTTTGGCTGATGGCACCCCAAGGAGGCCCTCTCTGTGGGAGCGCACGGGTCGATGGGAGGTTGTCGGTAGCAGCAGGCGGTCTCGAAGATAACTAGGTCCTATGCCATGGAGCACCTTAAAGGTGGTAACCAACACCTTGAAGCGCACCCAGAAGACCACCGGGAGCCAGTGCAGCTCGCGCAGGAGCGGTGTTATGTGGGAGCGCCATGCAGCTCCCGTAATTACCCACACGGCCGCATTCTGGACCAGTTGGAGCCTCCTGGTGCTCTTCAAGGGGAGCCCCAGGTAAAGAGCGTTGCAGTAGTCCAGGCGAGAGGTGACGAGGGTATGAGTGACTGTGCACATGGAATCCTGATCAAGAAAGGGTCGCAACTGGCAAATCAGGCGAACCTGACAAAAGGTCCCCCTGGCTACAGCCGTCAGATGTTCCTCCAAGGACAGTTGCATATCCAGGAGGACTCCCAGATTGTGCGCCCTCTCTGAGGGGGCCAAAGACACACCCCCAATAGTCAGCGATGGAGTCAGCTGACTATATCGGGATGCCGGGAACCACAGCCACTCAGTCTTGGAAGGGTTGAGCTTGAGCATGCAATCTTCAAATTTTCCTTCAAACTGATGATACACAAAGATGGGATGGGAATGGAATGGAATTTTTTTTTTCTCCTACTCTTTCCTGTCTCACTCCCTCCCCATCTACTTTGCTTTATTTTCTAACTGGTTGATGAAGACTTTTGGAAAACTCAAAACTATGCATTTGTTGTTGTTGTTGTTGTTGTCAGTTGCGAACAGGGGTGAAATCCAGCAGGTTCTGACAGATTCTGGAGCGAAAATTTTGAACAGTTCAGAGAACCGGTAGTGGAAATTTTGAGTAGTTCAGAGAACCAACAAATACCACGTCTGGCTGGCCCCAGAGTGGGGAAGGAATAGGGATTTTGCAGTATCCTTCCCCCAAGAGTGGGGAGGGAATGGGGATTTTGCAGTATCCTTCCCCTGCCACACCCACCAAGCCACACCACGCCCAGCAAGCCATGCCCACAGAACTGGTAGTAAAAAGAATTGGATTTCACCACTGGTTGCGAAGTTGTGTCTGAACCATTGCAACCCGATGGACAACGTTCTTCCAGGCTTTCCTGTCCTCTACCATCCTCTGGAGTCCATTTAAGCTCACACCTACTCCTTCAGTGACTCCATCCAGTCACCTCGTTCTCTGTTGTCCCATCCAGTGAGTCCTTCCTTCTCATTAGGTGGCCAAAGTATTTGAGTTTTATCTTCAGGACCTGGCCTTCTAAAGAGCAGTCAGGGTTGATCTCCTCTAGGACTGACCGGTTTGATCGCCTTGCAGTCCAAGGGAATC